AACGCTATTACATCTCCTTTATGGATAAATCACGTGCTGCAGAGAGCCCAAAAGCTTGATGACATTCTCTTAAGTGACACAAATGTATCTGAAGAAGCATACCTGTTCTTGTCCTAATTTTGATCCTAAATAAAAACCCAATTTCAAAATCAATTAAGAATCATTTTGATCTAGAAAAATCTTCCAATTTTTGCAAACGTGAAAACCTCGTCCCTGAGAGCCAGGATCCTATTCCCCCTTTGCTATCCCTCTAACAACTGGTCTACCCCAAAACCCCATCTGTTGCAAGGTGGCAATGCCCCAAAAAAGAGGAACAAAAAGAACTCAGCCCCCAGACCACCGTCATGCCTGTGGGTTTACTCAGCCTTTGTTCGGGACTTGTGACTCCACTTTTTGGGGTCGGTGTGGATCATCAAAATGAAGAAACGCTTTAGCAAAGCAACCATTATTTGTCCACAAAAACAGTGAAAAACAGTGATATAAAATTAACAAACCAAATATAAATCTAATACCGTTCTGCAATTCTGGAACTTGTTTTCATATCTGCGCAGTGTTCTTGGTCAGCCACCCACCAGTATTTTTTGCATCTACATGACGTACTTTTATCAAGTTACTAAAAATGCTGTTTTGCCCGTAAGTCCCACAGAATCGTGATGATTAGGAAATCAATGCACTCAATTATCACTCTGTGCAGTACACTTGCCAGTCAGCAAGTGCAGAGAGGAATTAAAAAAACGGAAGAAAAGTCTCTCACTTCTGAACTGGACACAGGAGTTCTCAAATTAAAATCATAAAAAAGAGGGGGAGGGGAGGGCTTACTGGCAACATTACTAGTAGACACCAGACAGGACAGTGAGACTGTTTGGTGAGAACCAAGGAACACCATTTCCTTGCAAAGTTTTCAAAATACCTAACCAAGCACTGCCTTACGTCCAGTGCGTACAATGCTCCGTTAAGTTTCCACAGCAATACAGTGACTGGCGTTCATGTGTTACCAACAATGCAGTCTCAGTCTCCGGGGCTCAGGCAAAGTGGTCCTGTCCCAGCACCTCTAGCTACAGGCGATGGTTTCCAACTGCTGCTCCGCTTCGGCGGCCATGGCGGCCGCCTGCAACTGTTCTGTCTCGCTCTGGATGGCACTGGGGGTGACCTGCTTCCTCTCACTGTGCATATTGTTCTCGTGCCTTTTCAGATCGGACGCCTTAGCAAACGCCTTGGTGCAAGAGCCACAGACAAAAGGCTTTTCCCCTCTGTGTCTTCGTTCATGATCTTTGAGGTGGGACTTGTGTTTGAAGGCTTTGTCACACATGTGGCACGCAAACGGTCTCTCGTTACTGTGCACTCTCTCGTGCTTTTTCAAGTCCGGGGCGCGGATAAAGGATTTTCCACACACCTCACAGCTGTAGGGCTTATAGCCTGTGTGGATTTTTAGGTGTTCTTTCAGGTGGGCCTGTGTGGTAAAACCTTTCGTACACATTTCACAAACGAACGGCCTGTCGGCCGTGTGCAGTTTCTCATGCTTCCTCAGCCTGCCTTCGTCGGAGAACGTCTTCCCGCACGCCTGGCAGGCGATCTGCTCCCGATGGTGGCCATAAAGTAAGTACTCGAACTTCATGTCACTGGCCGCTGTCGTCCAGCCTGGTGTCTGTTCGTCCTTCACTTCACTCATTCCATCATTAAATGTTAAGGCTTGAGGGGTCTGGGACCCCAAATCTTTCGACTCTGGGGTCTCCATGGATTCTACTTCCTGGCCGTAGCAATTGACCTTCCGAACTTCCTCACTCCCCAGCTCTTTCAGGATCGCCTCCTGAACCCTGAGCGTCGTTGTAGGCGACTTGCCGTCCTCCTGACTCGGGGGGGTGCCTTCTACCGTGTCATCAGAGGGACTGTCATCCTGGTCTCCAATTTCTTCCACATCATCATCCTGAGTGTCAGCAGCATCTCCAATGGGCCGATTTATTTTGAGGCAATACTTACTTTTAGATTGGCCGTTATTCTCGTCGGGACTAGATACATCACGCTTCTGAGAACAGAGTTTATCTAAAAATCGGATCCCGAGGATCTGACCTGATGACATCATTAAGTTAACATCTTCTTTTTTCACAGAAATCTTTGCTGTGTACATGTAGTTCAGGACCTCTTCAAATATATCAGAACGAAGAAAATCTATTTCTATTACTGAAGAGCTATCAACCTCAAGCTTCTTGAAAAGCTTTTTAAAGTAGGTGCTGCAGGCAGCAAGAACACACCTGTGTGCTCTGAATTTCACATCTTCAACCACAATGGCAATATCACAGAATTCTCCTTCCAGGCGTTGTTCATTTAGTGTTTTCAGAAACAGAGTTTTATGATCATCGTCATTATATTTAATGGTTTCAGACATACTGATGAAAAACTCCTACAAAAAATTTTTAAAAAGAGAGTTTGGTAATTATGAACCAGTACTTTTCCATACACAAAACACAGGCAGACTTTCATTTCCTAATCAATTTTCAGTACCTAACAATTTCAGAAAATCAATGTTAGAGGTGGCTCCAGAAGAGGAGTTCAAAACACTGATCCCAGCTTAGGGACTTCCATCTCGTTATTTCTATTATCTCCGGTTTATAAAGTATTTGCTTAGTAATAATAACAGCAACTTTTACTGGGCACAGAATACACGCCAGGCACTGTCCCATGTGCTTTGCATGTCTTCACAAATGTACTGATCAAATAACCTTAGACGTAGGCATTCCTAGCCCCCTTTTTTAGATGAGTTTAGGAACCTGCCCAATATTCTAGTCATTTACTGGAGAGCTGGGACTCAAATCCAGGCAACCTAACGCTATAACCTGTGCTTCCTGACAACTAGAGGTAATAACAACAAATAACTTCAAGGCTTAAGAAAGAGGTCCAAGGCAAGGAGGCTCTATTCCTGTTGTGTATAGAGGAAGAGGAGTTTTGGTGAAATAACTAATAATAGTGCTCATTTTCTACTTCCTTGACAGAAGAGACAAATCACTGTTGCAGAACCAAAAAGGGAGATCACTGCCAAAACATTCCACTTAGCGTTGTCTTCTGCTTTTTTCCTCACCAGCTTTGGGCCACTTGAATGAGGGTTAAGTTTAATATGATGGCATTTGGGAAAACAGTGACAAGCGCCTTCATTCCATCTGGATGCCAATCTATCTGCCATCCAGATGAAAGTGTCATCAAGACTGGATGTACATGACAAGTGCTCTGAGTATTTCATAAGCAAAAGACATTCTGAACTGGCATGAAAGACATCTGGGACAAAAGACCCTGCTAAAGAATTACCTTTTTAAGATAATTTGTTCTGTGTATTTTCTTTTTGAAACATTGTTTTCCTTTTATTTCACAAAGCATTCCCCCCAAAGAAACAGAATACTAATGCATAATTTATACACACACACACAAACACACACACACACACACATTTCCAAGATTTAATACCCAAAGTTATAGTTACCATGAACAACTCAGGCTATTATCTTAATGCTTTAAACACCAAATTCTTCAGATCAGAATAACTCTGATCTGGGGCACGCCAGTCCTACAAGAGAAAAGGACAAACAAGAATAAGGTAGAATCTTCCTCAATCCCAAATTCTAAACAAGAATGTTTTCAAGAATTGATTTTAAAAAATAAAACTTTCCTTTCTTGTCCTGCCACTTGCACATGTACCCATTTTCAGGTTGGGAACAGAGAGGAGGGTGACTGGCAGCATCAGGTCCAGCTCTGAACAGATATGAATGAGAACAGATAAAGGCTGTGGCACTTGGAGCATGCAGGGGACTGTACACTGGGATTGAAGGAACGTGTTGGAGAACCACTAAGGAAGTTCTCATAAACAGAGGCCATGCCCACATTTGCACAAATATTGATAGCTACATAGATACAGAAAAAGCCAGTAAGTCTCCCCTAACCCCACCATATCCTGCTGGGTATGTAGCCCTCCATATTTTATCTCTAGGCTCATATACAGTGTACATTTTTAAATGAAGTTATAGAAGTGTACATCCCCAACAGTTAACACTGGAGAAGGAACAGTAGCTGCTTTCTTCTTTCTGTGCTTCTGTGTGCATAGTACATATCACGTAGGCTACACTAGTCTTTATGGTTTTATTTGAGAAATCCAGGTGTGTTCACCTCAATCTCCACAGGGAGGCTCAAAGAATACTCCCTTTGGGGGAGTTTCAACTCTTACCAGAAGGACTCCAACCTGCAGCCCAATATCCTGAAAAAAACACGTTTCCTCCACTGGACAGTGACCACACAAACTGGTGTGGTGGGACCAAGAGACCAAGCTGCAATATTCTTACACAAAAATTGTGGTGCAAGACCTGAACTTCAAGACCAACACTCTAAAAACCCTCAAAAGTTCCCTCTACAGGAAAACACACCGATAAGATGCCTGCAGTAGCAGGGAGTTTGCACAGTGAGATCTGGGCAACATTACTTCTGAGGACTCTTGCCTGTCCCCTAGATGCGCCTCAACCTGCAGTCATCTCCAAAGGAAGGCAGCCACGCAAAACCTTCCTACCTAATTACTTCCTCTCTTCCCACTATTATAATTCTGCCTAGGGCTTGCGGGATAAAAGTGCATGGGACTAGGGAGAGGAGTGGCCCTGCAGAACCCATGACAACATACCACTGTGGGTGGTTTTTCTTTGGGGGGGGGGGAACCAGTGTGATATTTGGCCCCCACTCTCAAGATCGCCGAGGACCACTTCTTTCTACTGAGATGTTCCAGTTACTAAGTTCAGGTGAGTTAAACTGGAAGCTAGCCCTTGCGAGTATCTGTGTCCGAGTATCTGTGTCCGCGGAGGTAAAGATGTAGCCCCAACTACACCTCCATAACAAAGCTGCTCCTTGATTGCGGTTCTCCAAACCGCTGGCGCGCTCGGCCTCCGTTACGGAGCAGGGAGCGGGGGCTCTAGCAAAGTCAAACTTACATAAGCAGCGGCAGCCGCCTTCCCTACACCGGGGAAGCCGCGACAATGGCGGCCGCACGACTTCCCGGTTGAAAGCTCGCAACTTCGGGATGGGGAGGAAGCAGGGAACGAAACGCAAGACCCAAGAGGATTTGAGAGCCTCTCAGGCCTCGCTCCCGTTTCTTTCAGCCCGGGGTTGGGGGGGCGGATAAGGACGTTTGCATCCTTTCCTAAACAAAAGCTCCCAGCCTCGGAGCCCGGAGGTGCAAGGGCCACTTTCCCTTTCATTATCGGAGTCCAGCGCAGGCTGGGGGCCGCGGCTCCGAACCTAAGCGGGAGGGCCCGCGGCAGCGACGGAGGCGAGCGGGAGCGGGCGTGCGGCCGGGCTCCGCAGCCCCGCGCCGCGCCCCGCGAGCCCGGAGCTCGCGCCCCGCGCACTCCCCGGCCGGCTCGCGCCGGGCCCTCCCCCGCCCTCCCGCGGCCGGGGGCGGGGGCGGCGCGCGGCCGGCTCCCGAGCTCCGCGGGCGCACCCGGGAGTGCGAGCGCGGGGGTCCCGGCCGCCTCCTGGGCAGGCAGCTAGGGGCGGCGCGGAGGGACCCGCGGCTCGGAGGGGCGGCGCCCGGCGGGCCGCGCTCTGCGCCGGGCTCGGGGCCGTCCCCACCCCCACCCCCACCGCGGTGCACTGCGGCGGTGCGAGCGGGAGCGGCCATGAACTCCGCCGCCGAGGCTCGGCGAGCGCGCGCGCGGGGCCGTCGCCGCCGCCGCCGCCCGGCCGCTGCCGGAGCCCGCTCGCCGGCCTGCGCGGCCCCTAGGGCGCCAGGTCCCCACGCCCGGCCCGGTCCCGTCCCCAGCCCGACCCCGTTCGCACCGCACCGCTGGCGGCCGCCCGCACATCCTGGAACTGGCTGGTGCCCCAGAGCTCGGCGAGAACGCGCGTCTTCCGGGCCGCTCCTTCGCGCCGGCGGCCGGCCGCCCCCGCGCCCCCGCGCCCGCCTCGCGGATAGCCCGGGCCCCTTCCGCACCCCCGGCCCGCGCTTACCTGCAGCCTGGCACAGCCACAGACACTCGCCGTGGGCTCCCCGCGCTCACTGCAAGCAGGCCGGGGACGGGTTGGACGCGGGGCGCGGGGGCACGGTGGGTGGCAGTGTATTTTGGAATTTTTTTTTTTTTTTGGAGTTTGGGGAGGGGGCGGGGTGGGAGGGAATCGTGCACGTCTCTGATGGTAGCAGCCCTCCTCCTGCACGAGCACAGAATGTCTAGCCGGCCGTGAACACCCCCACCGGCACCCCCCCTTCCCGTGCATGCGCGGTGCGGGCTGGGGGGAAGGCGCGCCGCCGGCTTGCGCAGGCACGGAACCTGACCGGGCCTCTAAATGAGCGAGCGAGGAAAGGGTTAATCCGGGACCTTGCGACGCTTTCCATGGAGTCTACGGGGCCGCCCCTGGAGGGCCCTGGCCTGCGCAGGCGCGCGCACGCGCGCGGTTTGGAGCGCGCGGAGCCCGCGCGCGGGAGAAGAGGTGGGCGGGACAGGGGCGGGGCCTCGTGAGCAGAGAAGCGTAAGCACGAGCGCCGCTCGCGGGCACCCGCCCAGTCTGGTGTTCCCGCCTCCCGCTCAGACTCCCGGGCTCCCGCCCGCGCCCGCCGCCGGCGCAGCGCCGGGGACTCGGGAGCGCGGCGCTCCCGTGCGTGTGCATGTTCGTGGGGCAGTGCCGCCTTCGGGCGCGCGCAAGGCGGGCTCTGCGGCTGCGGGGCTCGACCAAGCTAATGGGTGGAGGTTCCAGGTACCCTCGCCCTTCGCCCACACCAGGCAGACCCTTGGACACGCACAGCGGGCTTTGGGTCTTGGCTGGTGTTTCTGCTGCATTATATATTATTGGGAGAATGGTAGGCCATCAATAAACGTTTGCAAAGCAAATGAAAAAAGTGACTTATTTCATTTGGAACGTGAGGGGTGACCCCAGTCACCCAGAAGAAAGGGAACACCCCCTAAATTTCCGGACCCAGCCAAACCTGTGCCCATGGGTTTACCTGGACATTCTCAAGGGAAAGTCACGGAGACTGGAGGCCCTATCCTAGATCATCTGTGGCAGTAGTGAGGTTGGACGTGATTTCATCTGCAGCTCTCCCTCGGAGAACGCTGATAACAGCACTGTTCTTACATTCCTGTTCAGCAAAAGTAATGGTTCCGTTGATGTTCACAGCATATCGCGTTCCCTGTGATAGCGTGGCTGGGCTTGGGGCAGGCACCGGGACCAGCCAAACATAGCTGGAGGGCACTACTGCATCTTCTTAGACTTGCTTATGCTGCTTTAACAGCATTTCATAAAAACACATAATTTAACATGTAAAAATTAGAGTAGGACCTTCTTCTTGGACTTGTGTGATAATTCCATAGTAAAGATTTAAGAAATGATACTGTGATGGGCTGTATTCAGTTCTAAAGAAATTCCGTACAGTCTCAGTTGATTTTATATTAATTTCGACTTTAGTTTCAATGTTTTGAATGGTACTTTTACACACATCCTTTTCGGTGTTCCCAAGAGCATGGCGTTTAGTAGGTCTACTGAATGAAACAAAATAGACCAGTTCTAGGATCACACGTCCAATTCAGATATTAGGTACATTGTTTAGCTTCTCTAAACCTCAGCTTCTTATTCTCTGAAACGGAAAGCACCTCGAGCAGTTGTGTGGATTAAACGAAATAATGCTCTGGTCAGTGCTTAGCTCAAATATTAGCTCTATGATGTTAAATGATCAGCCCACTCTCAGTAGATGGTGGGTTTAAGTGGCAGGGGCAGGACAGGAATGGCCAAAGTTCACGCTCCTACATGATACCTGTGTAGCCTCATTCTCTCTAAGGCCATGGCTGGGCTCGTTGATTCTTGTTTACACAGCTTTTAAGATTGCATTTCCGTCCTGTTTGGTATTTAAAGGGAATAATAATAGTACCATAGCATAGGGTTAAGCTACCAAGCTATAAAACTGTCACTGCATTTAAATACCAGGGTGTGCACATGGCTAGCACTTAGTTTATGGTTCGTTGTCTGGTGCTGTCCCCCCTTCATCCATACCATGTAATTGCACAGGTTTATATACTCATTCTGCATATATTTATTATCTGCCTGCTAGGTAAAGAAAGGCTTTTGACATATGGTTGGCTAAAGGCTTCCCAAGATTTGACTAGTCTATGAAATTAAATAGTGCAGTAGAGCTCTCAAGCACTGGACTGCATTTCCCAAGTGACAGATTCCTGGCGTCTTGGCTTTTTCATCAATTAACCCTCTTTTCTCATTTGTTTTATGGGCTCTACCCATCTGTTCCTTGGGGGTCATGGGGATGAGTCTAAATTAAAGGGGCAACACCATGAGAAGGAGGAGGGAGGAGAGAAGAGACCATACAGGAAGGGCCTGACCCAGACCTGGCACTTTGGTCACCAGCCTCAACTCAGCACTGGGCAGCACTCATTAGTCCTCAGTAAATATTGATCACAGATTAAATGACAACCCAGAACTTGATACCCAGGGGAGTTATATGGGCACACTGTGGGATTGACGGCGGGTCAGGGCCTTCCTGTAATGCACAGACCTGAGGCCCTTGAAGGAAATTTTCTCTCTTTCCTACTAAGAATGCTGTCACTCTGTGTGGATTTCTCTGTCCAGCTACTCTGCTGGGAGCACCTAATTTCTCATGTGGGATGCCCACAGACTCCTCCGGCCTGGAACCTGCTTCTGAGGATTGTGAGGCCTGATGTGTGGGGTCTGTGGCATAGAATCCTGAGTGCCAAGGATTAGGGTGCTTATGAGCAGCCCCCAGGGATGTTTGGAAATGTGAAGTCATTTGGGGTTGTTAGAAACAACATGGTGTTGATTTCTTTATCACACTGACTGGGCCCTCTGACTGGTTTGGACCAGTGGGATGTGGGCAGACAAGAGGATGGGCAAGCTCTGGGTAGAGGCTTGGAGAAACATCCTGTATTCTGCTCTCTCTCCTGTGCTTGTGTGGTCCACATTGAGAGGACCAGGCCCACATTGCTCCTGCCTCCTCAACCCAGCCCTTCAATGACAAGCAGACCTGAGAGAATGAAACTGACCCAACCCCTGAGCCCAGGCAAGCTGAGATGAGTAACAGCTCATCCACAGGTGCACGAGTGAGAAATAAATGCTTGTTTTTATAAAACCCTGGGAGGTTGTGTTTCGTGATTTGTTATCACAGCAAGACCTGATAGGCCTGCACAAGGAAAAATGTCCCACCAGAAGCCAATAAGCAACTTCCCCTCCCTGCTCTTAAAACACTGGATACAGTAAATGAAGAAGAAATATATCTAGTCCCTAAAAACACAGAGGTGTGAACACACACTTTCAATAAATAATCACATAAATCATTATATAATTGCACATTATAATACATTTTTTTTTAAGATTTTATTTGTTTGACAGAGAGAGATCACAAGTAGGCAGAGAGGCAGGCAGAGAGAGAGAGGGAAGCAGGCTCCCTGCTGAGCAGAGAGCCCGATGTGGGGCTCGACCCCAGGACCCTGAGATCATGACCTGAGCCGAAGGCAGAGGCTTTAACCCACTGAGCCACCCAGGCGCCCCTATAATACATGTTTTAATACATCCATAAGGCGTGATGGAAAAGAGGAACCAAGTTTGATTGAAAAATCAATATGTGTCTCCAAAGATGTACATTTAAGACGTGAAGGATGAGGAAGACCTAGGAAAAGAGGAAAGAGAGCATTTCAGGCAAAGGGAGAACAGTATGAAGGAAAGGGTGGACGGAACTTGGTGTGCTTGAGGCTCTGCGGCAGGACAGAACACCGGAGCCCAGTGAGCAGGTCCCAGCACCTTCTGGGCCTTGGAGCTGTGGTGAGGGCTTTGGCTCTGACGCTAAGCACAGCGACAGTCATCAGAGGGGTTTTCTTTTAAACTCTCATTTACTTAGGTAATTCTCTTAGTCTCACAACTAGAATAAATTCAGCCCTTGGAATGCAGATATGGACTTTGAATTTCAAACACCTCCAATGGCAAGACCACTCAGGCAAAACTCTTGTCACAGGTCAGGTTGTGGGGAATGTTTTAAACACCATCAAGTGAAATACTATCCTTTACTATGTAGAAATAGAAGAAAAGTTAACAATTTACTCATGAGATTTACTTTTAAATAAAATACATTTATTAAAACACTATCATAAGTAGTGTAATTCCAATCAAACTTCCATTTGAGCTGCTGTATGCTTACAGTTTCTGAAAACAGTAAGTAGAAAAAAATTGCTAATTAACAACAATGAAAATAATATGCACTATCTGAAAACCAAATAAAAAGAAAACAAATTGCCCATAAGACTCACATGAGTAGAATATACATTTGTAAAACATCCCAGGAATGATATTCCCATGAAGTTTCATTGGAACTATTCTATTGTCACTTAAATAATAGCAGTAGAACCAAAAAATGAAAAGCTCAAACTTATTTTAGGAGAAAGAAAAAAATAATTACTGCTGTGTTTCTGGATTGTTTTAGTGGTCTTGCTAAGACGAAAAATACTGTAATTATATTACCTACAAATAGAATAAAATGGAAGCAATTAATTTATAAGAGTCACATTCAAATAATCTATGATTATAGAACATTATTCTAAGAAGTATAATTATATCAAACTTCCATTTAAGCCATTGACTAGTCTCTTAATTAAAAGCAAAACACACACACACACACACACACACACACACCAAAAACCTAGGAGACAAAAAACCAAAGTTACTTTAGTAGGAAGGGGGAAAACCACCTTGTTTTAGTTCTGTATCTTCAGAAGTTTGCTTTTGTGGAAGGTGGGGTCTTCTTAGAATGTGATTCACTTCTGTTTTCTGATTTTGTGGACAGAAGATTGAATCCAGCACTGCTGTGGACATTTTGTATTGTCAATTTTGGATGTAATGGACCAGGGAAGTCCCTTGGTGGAATGAATTTCAGGAGAGGTTTGTTCTCTGTTTCTAGAAGAAGGAAAGAACAGGGTATCCTCTTCTCAGAACTGCCCCCTAGGACTTCTCTGTCACATCTAACCTCTGAAGGAAGATCCTGGGTCAGCAGCAAATCTTTGAGATGGGAGAGTTAAATCAAGAGAAAGCTCTGGGGGCACCTGTGTGGTTCAGTGGGTTAAGCCTCTGCCTTCGGCTCTGGTCATGATCCCGGCGTCCTGGGATGGAGCCCCGCATCGGGCTCCCTGCTCAGCGGGGAGCCTGCTTCCCCTTCTCTCTCTCTGCCTGCCTCTCTGCCTACTTGTGATCTCTGTCTGTCGAATAAATAAATAAAATCTTAAAAAAAAAAAAAAAGAGCTCTGAACATCTGCCAGGGCAAGGAACACCAGGACAAGTGTGCCTTATACTTGTGGATGATTTCCTGCATGGATGGAGTTGGCTGAATGGAAGGATCATTCCTGTGTGGGTTTGAACCTCATGGGGCATCTGGTCTACCCTGAGTACCCGACCCTGGATCCCCATGCCAAGATGGGCTGTTGCTCCTCCTTCCTTTGGAATCTGGTCAGCCAGAAGATTCCTTCATGATCTTCTTGGGTTAACATGAGAAGGAGCTGGGCGCACTCTTTATGGGAACACTCTGTACTATCTGGGCAACTCTCATAAATATTATTTCAAGGCAGTATCTCTGCATACGTAATTATTTTTCTCTGGCTACTTTCAAGATTTCTTTTTTCATTTTCGTTTTTAGCATTTTGATTATGATATATCTGCGTATGGAGTTCATTAAGTTTATCCTCTTGGGATTCATTGAGCTTTTTGGATCTGTAGGTTCATCTTTCTCCAAATTTGTGTAGTTTTCTGCTAGAACTGATAAGCAAATTCAGTAAAGTTGCAGGATACAAAGCAATATGCAGAAATCTGTTGCATTTCTATACACCAAATGAATGAAGCAGGAGAAAGAGAATTAAGAAAATAATCCCATTTACAACTGCACTAAAAATAATAAGATACCAAAGAAAAAACATAAAGAGGTAAAATATATGTACTCCAAAAACTATAAAACGCTGATGAAAGAAGTTGAAGATGACATAAAGAAATGGAAAGACATTCCAATGCCCATGAATTAGATGATTAAATATTGTTAAAATGTCTAAATTACCCAAAACAATCTACACATTTAATGCAATCCCTATCAAAATACCATCATCATTTTTCACAGAGCTAGAACAAATACTCCTAAAATTTGTACAGAAACATAAAGATCCTGAATAATCAAAGCAAAGCTAGAGGCATCACAATTCCAGACTTCAAGTTACATTACAAAGCTGTAGTTATTAAAACACTATGGCACTGGTAGAAATATAGACATCTAGATCAGTGGAACTGAATAGAAAACCCAGAAGTAAACCCACAACTATACTGTCAATTAATCTGCTATAAAGCAGGAAAGAATATCCAATGGGACTTGGGCACTCTTCAACAAATTGTGTGGGGAAAACTGGACAGCAACATACAGAAGAGAGAAACTAGACCACTTTCTTACACCACACACAAAAACAAATTTGAAATGGATAAAAGACCTAAATGTGAGACCTGAAACCATAAAAATCTAGAAGAGAACACAGGCAGTAACTTCTTGACATCAGCTGGAGCAACGTTTTTCTAGATATATGTCTCCTGAGGCAAAGGAAAACCAAAAATAAAAACAAACTACTGGGACTACATCAAAATGAAAAGCTTCTGCATAGCAAAGGAAACAATCAACAAACTAAAAGGCAACCTACAGAATGGGAGAAGATATTTGCAAATGACATATCTGATAAACAGTACCCAAAATACATAAAGAACTTAAAAACTCAACACCCAAAACACAAGTAATCCAATTAAAAAATGGGCTGAAGACATAAACAGACATTTCTCCAAAGAAGACATCCAGATGGCCAACAGACACATGAAAATATATTCATTATCACTTACCATCAGGGAAATGCAAATTAAAACTACAGTGAGATATTGCCTCATACCCATCAGAATGGCTAAATAAAAAACACAAGAAACAACAAATGTTGACAAGGATGTGGAGAAAAAAGAACACTTTTGCACTGTTGGTGGGAATGCAAACTGGGGCAGCCATTCCAGAAAACAGAATGGAGTTTCCTCAAAAAGTTAAAAATAGAACTACCCTACAATCTAGCAATCACACTACTGCATATACACCCAAAGAATACAAAAACACTAGTTTGAAAGGGATACATGCGGCCCCTATGTTCATAGCTGTATTATTTATAAATAGCCAAGATATAGAAACAGCCCAAATACCCATCAACTGATGAATGGATAAAGAAGATGCAGTGTATATACATAATGGAATATTACTCAGTCATAAAAAAGAATGAAATCTTGCCCATTTGCAACAACATGGATGGAGCTAGAGGGTATAATGCTAAATGAAATAATTCAGTCAGAGAAAGACAAATACCACATGATTTCATTCATATGTGGAATTTAAGAAACAAATGAGCAAAGTGAAAAATGAGAGAAAGAGAGGCAAACAGACTTTTAATTATAGAGAACAAACTGATTACAGAAGGGAGGTGGGGTAATGAGGAAATAAGTGATGGGGACTAAGGAGTACACTAGTTGTGATGAGCACTGGGTGATGTATGGAAGTGTCGAAACATTATATTGTACACCTGTAACTAATTTAACACTGTATGTTAACTAACAAGAATCGAAAAGAAACTTAAAAAATTGGGAGGTAGTTTTCAGTGATTAATCTTTACATTTTTTCCAGCATCACATTCTTTCTCCTCTTCTGAGATTCTAATGACATGAATGTTGGCATTCTTTTTCAGTATTCTCATAGGA